TGTTCCGATGCATTTTAAATGAAAGTTTTTGGCGACAAAAGAAGGCGTAAAATATTATGTTAAAAACGTCAGCCACAGCCCTCAACATAATGACGTCACGTGTTTTCCAACCCAGCCATCAGCCCCCCTCGCTTGAAACAGCTTCCAGCGCGCCTGTTCACCATCTTATATAATCATTACCGTTAAAACTATAAATGACTTCCTGTCAGGATTTAACAGAGATCTGACCCACATGCAGGAAACCAACACAGGGAGACCAGGGAAAGTTTAACAGGTTTATTGAGAAGGATGAGATGAATCCAGTGTTGCTCTGAACACTGATCAACTGGAACTGGAAAGTGAGGGGAAGACACTGCGGTTAGTTCAGGCTCAGTGGGAAATTTGAATCTTGAACTTGAAGAGAAGAAATAGGTTGCTGACTCATGTTTCCAGAAAAGTGGTTGACTCTGACTCCAGTCGGTGTGGGGTGTTCCAGTGTTTGTCTCATTCGATGGAGGGCGAACAGGGTTTACCCAGATAGCGGTTGTTAGTTGGAGAACGGAGAGGCTACCTGACACTTAGATTTCCTGCGGTACTTGAACGGGTTGCTGTGGCGATGGATCCCCTGTTCAGAGAGAAGCCCAAACGATCCCTGGGGGAAAAATTTGATCAGAACCACAAACATGAATCCTCAACTCAGTTTGGTTCTCAGAAAATCCTTCCAGGGGAGAGAAGGTCCGAAACATCCAGTTTACAGGATGACTTCCTGCCCAGAGGCAAAGACAAAAACAACGAGGTTAAAACGAAGGGAGACAAAAACTCAGTTTGACTCAGCAAACTCAGCTTGACTAGAGTTCCCTAAACTGGCAAACACTCTGGAATCGAGGTAGTGGCAGTCAGCAGCTTTAGAGTCCTCTGGTAATGAGGAAACCATCCGCAGGTGTGTGAGGAGGCGGACCAGAACCAGGCGCCACCTGGTGGATGAAGGAAGACAAACACAGAAACACAGACTGGAATCCTAACACTTCCTCCAGTTTATCTTGGTCTGTTATTCTTCAACTAATAATCTTCTCCCAATGGAAGCAGCTCCAACGCCTCCTTTCACTGACAGTCTGGCCAATCATTGGCCCCCGCTGCACCCGCCCTACCAGCTGACTGGTGATCTTCATCTGATAGAATAACTATTTATTTATAATCAGCATCTTAAACTTTTGTATATTTTTTATTCTTAATTTATTAAACTAAATCCTCCTACTGTCCCTTATATCGATCAATTTTACTTCATTTTTTAACATATCGATATAATCATTTAATCCATTTACTATCAAACACCTTTGGTTGTGTTTTATTATTAACACCTGAACTAATAACCAGCTGCTGCTGTTCTTCCTTCTCCAACCTGCTGACTTTATTTTCAAACTACTTTGATTCACAGAAACTTTACATCTCCTTTCATCTGCCTTCAGTTAATTACAGAGACTGAAAACCAGCAGTTCTTTCCACCATGTGAAATAGGAGACCCCCCCCCCCGGTTATCTATAAATAGCAGTGGCAGCTGAGTGTCAGCTGATCCAGAACCAACCTCTCCCTACAAGCTTCTCTGTTGGTTTCATTCCCGTCTGGATCAGGACCATCAGCAGGTAAATCTGCTTTTTATTCTCCACTCTGAACAATCCTCCCTCAGTTCCTCCCTCAGACTGCAGGGGGCGCTGCGTTTCACAGCTTCCATCATTATTCACCACCGAGTCCTGGTGAACCGGGTCAAGACCTGAAGGTTCTGGTTTTAAAGCAGTTTAAACATGTTCAGAGCCCCGATTAGAGCGGGCCCTGCTGGTACCGACACGTTTCCCCGCCTCCTCCAGAAAGCAGCGTGGAGCTGATTCACCTCACCTGGACCAGACCAGACCTCACCTGGACCAGACCTGACCGGGACCAGGTCCTGACCCGGACCTCTCCTGGACCAGACCTGACCGGGACCAGGTCCTGACCCGGACCTCACCTGGACCAGACCTGACCGGGACCAGGTCCGGACCCGGACCTCGCCTGGACCAGACCTGACCGGGACCAGGTCCGGACCCGGACCTCTCCTGGACCAGACCTGACTGGGACCAGGTCCGGACCCGGACCTCTCCTGGACCAGACTTGACCGGGACCAGGTCCGGACCCGGACCTCTCCTGGACCAGACCTGACCGGGACCAGGTCCGGACCCGGACTTGGTCATAGTAGAGAGGAGTCTTTTGATGGTTGTACTCAGACATTAAGGACCAGAGTTTTAAAAATGTCCTAAATTGTGTTTTATATCTTTGATTTCTTTTGCTGATGTTAAAAACTATAATTTAAATTTTAAGCTCATTTAATATTTTTTTGGACCACTGAATGGAAGGAATTTTTTTCTAGAGGACAGGTTCTGGACAGACGTGTCTCACAGGTAGAATCTGTACTGCAGCAGGTACGGAAAGCCAAAAGGGCCACAAATTACATGAATATCCAACTTTGATTTTTAGATCCAAATAGACAGAATCGTTTATTACTGATAAATATTTCCTGTTTTTCATGTAAATCATATTTTAATGACATATTCTGGCCGCATGCTGCAGACGGAGGAAGGTCGTAATGATTTAGGTCTGGAGCTGATCTGGCTTCCATTATTTGATTTATTAAAGGAAGCAAACATGACGTGATTTTAAACAAATGACAGAATTTTATTCAAGCATTTAATTAAAACAGTGACTTTAATGATGACTGTTAGAAGAAAGAAGCATTAATTTTAGCTCTGAGAGTTTAATGTGTTTTAATCTGGACTGTGGATCTGATTGGATTATGTTTCTAGTTTCATTGTGACACGAAGACTTGGATGCTGGTTTTCCTCTGGAAAGACTTGATTTGATCCTGATACCCTCTGGTTTTTGGCCTTGACTTGGTCTCAGGTCAGGTGACCTCGACTATAATGCTGCCTGACTGGCTCTACCAGAAAGGACACGATGCACTCGTTCAAAATGGAACAGCGAGTCGTTCATTTGGTCACGTGGTTAATAATTCAGGGACTGTGTCTGTAATTTAAACCATGGGACTTGGACTAGACCTTCAGCAATTCTCTTGGGAGTAAAGACTCGGCCTCTAAAGGGAGAGAGGAACCACAGCAGCCTGGACCAGAGAGGTGGAGTTCAGCAGAGGATGTAGGAACCTGGTTTAACCCCCCAGTCTGCCATGTGGGGGCCGGAGCAGGACCCTTTCTGTTCAACTCACTAAATCAGAATAACTTTGATCTCAACAAACACATGTTCAATATTTTTATGCTCCGTGGGCTCCCTGTGTGGGCGGGAGCAGTGGGCTGCCACCGTGCGGCGCCCGGGGAGCAGTGGGCTGCCACCGTGCGGCGCCCGGGGAGCAGTGGGCTCCATAACATGGGAAGAAATTAATTCACCTGCAAGTCTTCAGGTCTTTTATTGTCTTAATAATAATGATTCTGGCATCCAGCTCATCTATCTCACTTAACTAGCATATCATGAAAAATGTCTGTAAACGAGCTATGCACCTGATCATCTGAATCAACAAATGAACTCTAAACACCTGCAGAAGATTCCTGAGGCCTTTAAAACTTCCAGCCTGGTTCATCACTCAGAACCCAATCATGGGTCAGACTGCCGACCTGCCTGCTGTCCAGAAGGCCATCATTGACCCCCTGAAGCTGGAGGCTCAGACACAGAGAGATGTTTCTGAACCAATAGGCTGTTCCCAGAGTGCTGCTGCATCGAGGCTCCTCAGTGGGATGAAAAAGTGGCAGAAAACGCTGCACAACCAGAAGAGGTGATCGGACCCTGAGGAAGACTGTGGAGAAGGGCCGATTCCAGACCTTGGGGGACCTGCGGAAGTAGTGGACTGAGTCTGGAGTAGAAACATCCAGAGCCACCATGAACAGGCGTGGGCAGGAAATGGGCTACAGGTGCCGCCTTCCCCAGGTCAGCCACTTTAGAACCAGAAACAGCAGCAGAGGAGCCTGACCTGGGCTACAGAGAAGCAGCTCTGGACTGTTGCTCAGTTTTACATGTCATTTGGAAATCAAGGTGCCAGAGTCTGGAGGAAGACTGGGGAGAAGGAAACGCCAAAATGCCAGAAGTCCAGGGTCAAGTAGCCACAGTCAGTGATGGTCTGGGGCGCCATGTCAGCTGCTGGTGTTGGTCCACTGGGTTTTATCCAGGGCAGGGTCAATGCAGCTATCAGGAGATTTTGGAGCACTTCATGCTTCCATCTGCTGAAAAGCTTTATGGAGATGAAGACGACCTGGCAGCTGCTCACAGAGCCACAACCACTGGTAAATGGTTTACTGGTATCACTGGGCTCAATTGGCCTGCCAACTCTCCTGACCTGAACCCCATAGAGAATCTGTGGGATTTTGGGAAAAGAAAGTTGAGAGACGCAACACCCAACACTGTGGATGAGATAAAGGCTGCTATGGAAGCATCCTGGGCCTCCATGACACCTCAGCAGACTGATAGCCTCCATGCCACGCTGCATTGAAGCAGTCATTGAAAAAGGATTCCCCACCAAGTATTGAGGGCATAACTGTACAGAATTATTTGGAGGTTGACTTACCACCCCTCCAAACCACGCCTTCAAAACACATGAACGTGCATCCTGTCTGCAGCGCGTCTAGAGCAGCTAAAGCAGCACGTCGCATAGAGCTGGCAGGGAGTCAGACGCAGCACTGCTGATGCAGAGCGCTATGATCAC